GTTATATTCACCACATTTCCATTGAATTCTCGGACAACCTTTAACTCCTTATCATCAGCTTTAGTGGTCTGGATCAGTTTATTGCCGTCTGCTATGATTAGCGACTGTAGGGTATAGTATGATTGAAATATTCACATTTATGTATTAGTTAATCTGTAAGTAATTACTAATTAGTATGTTCTGTATATACCTTAATGGGTGAGCCGTCCAAGTGTTTGTCGTCAAACTCCACTCCCAATTCAAATGTCATTTCGCGATTAAAATGATCGGAACTCTGAGTTAAAGTATAGGTGCCGTCATTACAAGTTATGGCGAACTGGCCCGAAGTGGGATTCAGTTTCTCGACGAGTCCCTCATCCACACCTGGGTATAATTTTGCACAATAATTACCGATTTTTAAAATGAATTTTACTTGAGATTACTTTTAAATTTGCTAAATTTTAAAATTCAATTGTTTTATCAATTGTAAGTAACATTATAACTTCAAAGTATAATTAGTAATATAAGAAAATAAAATAGACTAACCAATCTCTTTGAGTAGGGCAGCCCAGTTATCGGCCGACTGCAGTTTGTAAACACCAGTGAAGTCAGTCATCGTCTTAGTTTTCAAATTAGCTTGATTAACTCAACAACTACTCTGATAAATAGCTATCAATCAATTTTCAAAAAATTGAATAATTTTGTATTAATATAGTCTTAACACAATAAACTAGTCTGAACTGGTGGAAGGTCTACTTTATAATGGTTGGCATTTAAATACTAAACTAATAGCTGAAGCAAAAAACAACGACAACTCCATAAAAGCAATTTCTGCAGCTAAACTACAAATCAATAGTATTTTACATATACGTGCAGTACTTTGTCTAAATACGAAATGTACTAAACTCCATAAACTATAATGTATTGACATATAAGGTATAATACATAATACTGTATGGTATGTGGAATATTCTGTTGCATACATTTCTAATTTTGTATTCAATTATAAATCTCTTACACAACAATCAATATTGCAGTGAAATTCTGTTGTAAATAATTAGTACAAAATATATCTGAGAAAGGCATATGAGATGAGTATCTAAAAATTGCTTTTAATCTTTAATCTTACATATAACGTTTGAAACCATTATTGAAAATTAAAGCATTATCTGGATACTCATCTTATATTCCTTTCTCAGATATATTAGATTTTTATGTCTAATGTTTTTATATTTCAATTAATTTTGTATTTTGTTTGCTAATGTATTTGTGTTATTGGACAAGTGAATTATTATTTCGTATAAAAGTTATTTCATTATATTAATTTTATTCTGTTTATAAATTGATAATTAAATTTAAAATAAGCTCTCTCTCTCTCTCTCTCTCTACATTTTATAAAACACAATAATAAATTTTATTTTAAACTCTTTGAATAAAATACATCTAAATTAAATATAAATATAAATTTCTATGGTAACATACACCTATTGTATACTCAATGTATATTCAATAATCAATATACAGAAATAAATCTAAATTTAATAATAATTTACATTTGGTTAATATACACAATACACGATATATCATCATTTCATTCTATGGTAACATACACCTATTGTATACTCAATGTATATTCAATAATCAATATACAGAAATAAATCTAAATTTAATAATAATTTACATTTGGTTAATATACACAATACACGATATATCATCATTTCATGTCATGTTCTCAGTTTATTTATTATATACTATACTAGTTAAACTATTTTATTAATATTTATATCGCTTACAGTTTACAACTGTTTTGTACTTAATTTTTCAATCAATACAGTATACTATTATAATATATAAAAATTATAGTGTTTATAATATAAAATTAATTTTAAATGAAAAATGATTGCTTCAAACGATCATTTATCTAGAAATTTACACAATAAATTAAAACTAAAACTAAAAGCACTATTTGATTAATTGTTTCACACTGATTTTGTTTTATTGTGAGATCATCTACTAAATAGATTACATTATTAAATACTAAGTACAAAGTTTTCTATTTTAAATAAGTACAGAATTAGCAATTATATTCAGTAAATAATTAATCAATTTTATTAAATTATTTTTTCATTACAAAACATTTTGTTCAACAGCGACTAAAGTTATTAACTATATTATTATAACAATTAAGTTTCAAATAATTATAGGTGACAAACGGTTTAGATTGTTTTATAATAATTAATTTTATTTATTGCAAAACATTATTACATCATGTATTCATTTATAAAATATAAATATATTTCTATTAAACATAATTCAAGTCAAAAAATATGAAACTTTTAGATTAATCATTCATTTATTAATTTACTAAAAAATAATTTTATTAATAATCTGATTAGAATTAATATAATTTAGGTAATTACTAATTTTATATGAGAATAATTTGAAAAAATATAATTTATTTATATAATGAGCTGACAACATTTATAAAAAAGTATTCATTTTCAGGTTTATTGTTTAGCGTAGACTCCATGCGCCTCAACACTGCCAGCAGTGGCCGTTATTTTGAGTTCATTGCTGTCCAGTTCCCGCACGATCTTCAACTCCTTTTCCCCCTTTTGGATCTGGATCAGTTTGTTGCCATCCAGTGTCACCGTAGACTATAGCATACATACATCAAACATAAACTACTACTGTAGGTGTTCCCTATTATAGCGTATACGAGGTGGTCATACCTTAACAGTACTGCCATCAGCCCGGGTCTCGTCGAACTCCTTTCCCAACTCAAAGCTGATCTCTCGAGTGTGGTTAGGGCTCACGTTTTTGATGGTGTAGGCGCTCCCGTTTTGGGTGATCTCCAGGTCCGACGTGTTTTGATTCAATTTGGCGATTATCTCCTCACTCGCGCCTACATTCAACACATCATAAAATAAATAAAATAAAAGTTTTTATAAATAAATATATGTAGACTGACCAAGCTCCCTGAGCAGGGCCTCAAAGTTGTCGTGAGAGACCAGTTTATATGTTCCCGAAAAGTCAGTCATTGTATATAGAGTTGAAATGAAATGAAAACTTCAAAAGTTATCAAAAATAATAGTTTTGTTGAGAGATTGTGATCAACAAAAAAGTCGGGAATTGTTGTCAATTTACTACCGTTTGGCTGATGTGTTCAGCTATTTATATACCACTCATTCAATGTCACAAATATAAAAAATAAAGGTTTTATTTACCGGGAGGTCGGGGGAGCAGAAATATTGTATAGTCTATTAAATATTGTCAACAGATTTTTACCGGAATATAATCTATTCTATTACTTTTATTCAAAAAATAATATTTTAGTAAAATTGTAATTTTTTTCATTAAAATGTTTAGTAAAAAAGCTAAATAATATTTAGGGGAGGCGTGGGAGTGTATGTAAATAATAAGTGATATTCATACCAGAGAATTACTATTCAATTGGGAAATGTAGTTTATTTTGTTGTGTCTGTGTTTGAATTGTAATTATTGTTATTTTGGTAGATGTATATAAATACAAGTATTCAATTAACAAGGTTACCCTTTATTTTACACTAAATATTTCCTACTTTAATTAATTGTTCTTTCGCGATATATACTTGATCATTTTTGTTTGTTCATACTAATAATAAATAGGTTAATTATACGTTAAAGTACATTGTATAATAAACACTACATCAGTACGGTATAGGGCCAAGGGTTGGGTATAAACAGAGTATAAAAATACTCTATTAATCAAATAGTTTTATCAAGGTCTTACTCACGGGTATGATTAATCAATTTATTCGTATTTCTATAGTTTTTATTCACAATTCATAAAATTCCTTACAAACAGAATATTTATGATTTTTAGATTAAATATTTCTAAATCCACAATAATTTTATGAATTAAATTCATTGTCTAAATTATGGGCTTTTCTGGGAGGGGTGTGTAATGGGGTCTGTCTATGGTTTATGTATTATCTGTTTTGAGAGCACATATTTTCACTACTTTTTATCAGTAGCCAGTATTGCACTAAAATATATAATGAAAAGTACAAACTATTCAATGAAATGAAATACTAAACAGATCTCATATATGTATATAATTGTATAATTAATTTTATTTTGTATTTATGCTAATAATCCTTAAGATTTCCATGTATACGCGCAATGTTAAAATATTGTTGTTAAGTTAAATTGTGTCTTGGTAATAATAATAATAAATTATACTTCTATGTATTACTTTAAGCACTTTAGTGTTTTACATAATAAACTTGTTTGTCTCGGATATAGAGTGCAAATTAATAGATAATTAGTATGAATACAACAAACTGGAGCCACAATTATGACACAAATATGTGATTAAAAACATAAGACTTTAATTAGTTATTAATACAAAGAGTGATAACAAACTTGCATTGGACTGACTTTTAGCCTAATTATTATCAGTTGATTTTGTTTATAATGTAATGTATTCATTTTCAATCATACTATACCCTACAGTCGCTAATCATAGCAGACGGCAATAAACTGATCCAGACCACTAAAGCTGATGATAAGGAGTTAAAGGTTGTCCGAGAATTCAATGGAAATGTGGTGAATATAACGGCTACTTGTGGTCCAGTGGTGGCTACAGGTCTCTATCAGAAACAGTAGTCTATATATACAAATAGACCCCCTATTGACTCACTCTTAACTATTACCTATTAATAATAGTTTTATTACTATTAGTTTTAGGTCTACTAATATTATAATAATTGTTTGCATATAAAATCTGATATTTGGAAATAAAGTATTTGCACCATTACAGTATATGTATTCTAATATGATATTTAACCAAATAATTATTTATTTATTTATGGGTACTGTATAGATTTATAATGAATATTCAAAATACAGTATTATTATTAGTATTATTAGTATGATTATTATAAAAATATTTCAATTTTTAATTACTATAAAATTGTTGCATTTTCCAAGTATTTATCTTTAAAATATTGCATATTACAATTTTAACAATTATAAGAAAATAAAATTCATGTTAATTAATTGATGTGTATTTATTTATTATTTATATTGTAATATGGGACGCTCGTATGTGAGCTTTGGTTGAATACGCTCGCGTATATAATAACCGAGTTCATTTTCATTTTTCATATAAAATATATTTTCATGCATAATATTTAGATAATTGGTTTTAAAATTTAAGAATAATAATTCTAAATTTTAAACAGATTTAAGCAATCAACAATTTATGGGTATACTACTGTATGATAATTATATATTTATTTAATGATTTGATATTTAATTGAAAATTGATTATAACTTTACAAACTATTAGTTTCAACTCGATGTTGATAGCAAATGAAATATTTTAAGTTTAAGTAAGTACTTTTTTGACCGTTTATGAACTGATATTAAGTGCTTTTATGTTACATTTACATCAAATAAAATACTGTATACAATTTTTTTTATAAATTTATAAGTGACTGACCTAGACTTTAATTTTTATGGCATGATATACACTTTAACCTTAAAAATATTTTAATGATAAAATACTAACACCAGACAAATGTTTATAAATCAATAATTGCATTATGACTAACGGTACCGTCACATTCAGTATAAGGGTAAATACCGGTATAAATATTACAATACAGTAGTAATAATACTTGTATACAAAACTACAGTAAGCAAGGTTAGGGTACCAGCGCACATATAGCTGTTTGTCAAGTAATTGTGTGTTTAAACAGTTGTTTATTATAGAAAACAGACAGCAATTCATTTGACACATTATATACATCTATATGAAAATTCTTGATATTCTGGTCTTTAATATGATAACAGAATTAAAATTTTTTATTTTTCTTATCTATGACTATATCACAACATTTAGTCATAGGGTACTCATACCCGTAGTCATACCCCTTCCCAAGACATGTCAATAATGTTTTGTTTAATGTATTCAAACATTTAAATAGCGTCACAAATGTTTTATTGAATACATTGCTAGTTTGGCGACCACTTGTGTGACACCAGTTTGCGATCCCAGTAATCAATTGTATGAACGGTTTTGCATTAGTTTTGCAGATCAATACTATCAAAACATATTTTTATAGACTTTCAAGCGATTGAAATCATGACTGACTTCAGCGGACGATTCAAACTGACCTCATCTGACAATTTCGATGCCCTTCTCAAAGAGCTGGGTTAGTGGCCAACCATTTTATGAGACCTTATAGTATATGATAATTATAATGTTATTGATAGGAGTGAGCGATGATGTGGTGAACCAACTGAAGGGCACCACTCAGGAGTACGAGATCACCAAAGATGGCGATGTCTTCACTCAGAAGAGTATCACTGGAGACAAAGTACACGAAACGAAGTTCGAGTTGGGAAAGGAGTTCAATGAGATCAGACAGGATGGCAAGACTGTCCAGGTATACATGTCTCGGCTAATCAAGCACCCCATAACTCAAGTTGCCTCTAATAATCAGTTTGTTGATGATTGTAGTCGCAAGTGGTGGCCGATGGCAATCGACTCATCCAGACCCAAAAAGGGGACAGGGAGGTGAAGTTTGACGCGCTCAAATTACCGTTACTCGAGGCCCACTGGCATTGATGACCCGGACACCACCGGCAGTCTCACATATGGGCACAAACTCTTTATACAATTAATCAACTACTATGGTCAGGGAAAAACTAACATTGCCAAGCAATTGTGACTTTAAATTTCATTATTAGGCAATTAATTATTATATGAATTAAAAATATGAATTGATTTTGTGTTTTAGATTTTTATGATAATTAAATAAAGAAATGTATAAAAAAATTCGCACAAATATATACCACTTGATTTTAATTTAAACTTTTTGTTTATGTTGTTATTATATTGATACAGAATTTTATGGAAATTACAAAAAATAATAAGAATTTAAATAAATATTTAAACATTAAATGAGTAATTTTAAAATTAATTACTTTATAATGATGTTTATTAAAAATAAAAGTAAATTTATAAACATTTAATAGCAAGTGTCTGGTGATTTTATCACAAAACTATTTGAGACATAAATGAAAAGTATAAACAATTATGAAATATTTTTAAATGACTCAGTAAAGTATACTACATTTATTTTGGCATAGTTTATTTACTACAGTAAACTGGCACATCTAATCGTGTTTTTGTATTTTTAGATAGAAAGCTTTATTTAGCCGTATTTATATAATTTTTTATTGGAGTATGTTTTAATAATTTAAACTAAATTTTAATTTTTGACTTTTCAATTAATTTAAAAAAAGAGTATACTATTAAAATATTTTTAGTTAAAATTAAATTTGTAATATTTATAATAATTAATTATTACAGAAATATAGCTAATTAATAAAACGGTAAAATAATTATATTTAGTTATTGCAATAATTTTATGTTTTATTTAATTTTAATTTGGAGTCAATAGTATTGAAACGGATGTATGAATTAAAATATTATCGTTTATATAAAAATAGACAATTCATATAAATTTAATTTATCTACAACCCTAGTGCTTAATATAACTATTATATTATCATTTTTCAGTGAATCACTTATTAAAAACAAAAATAATCTCATTGTGCCATCAAATTGGCTCCAATCGTATATTTCTAGACATGTATTTATCTGCACTTATAAGCACTTGCAATACCTATTGAGGGTCAGTCAGTAGTCCCTGTTATCTATGGCAATGACATTGATGTCTATTATATTCAGTGCTCACTGTTTTATACAATGACTTTCATTATAATTTTAATTATATTAAATTTAACTTTAA